ATCCTATTTTATAAGTAATTTTCATGATTAATTTAACTAATTTTGCGAAATTCCTTTCAATGAACTTTTTATATTACTATTATTACTGAACTAATTAGTATCTGTAATTAAAAACATCTATCAGAAAATAATAGTTCAAAACATATATAAGTAATTTGTGTTGGTATAGCTACTTTTGTTAACGTTTTTTTCATATTTTTCTGTATACATGTATGAGCTCCGAACGAAACTACGGTGAAACTTTAAAATAATGTACTTTCAAAAATAATAAACCCATTCGTCTTATTACTTCATATTATTTGCTATTATTGTTATTATCGTTGTTGTTGGGCTTATTATTCTCTGAAATTCATGTGAAAAATTCGAGTAATATTATTAAATTTTCATTAAATTACTGTTTAATAATTTTGACTTTCTGTTAATGGAAAAATAATCGTTGATATGTAACTGTTATGGGAACGAGTGAAATATACGTAAAATCGTAAAATCAAAGTCTATTGCTTCCAGTTGCTACGAATAATCGAAATGACCGATTAAATTTATTATTCATCACCATATTATAGAAATATGTACAATATTATACTAAACGTACGTACGAACTAGAAGAAATATATTATAACATGAAAGATTCTAAAAGTATTACGAAAACAAATTGTGCAAATGTTTCAAACGGTTATTGCCTTGCCGCAACGCATTTTCACACAATAACTTTAATGGCTTATAAAAGTACCAGTGATACGTGCTCGGATCTCATGAGTATCAATGCCATTTGTATACAAGACTTTTCAACTGTTCATGATTTTATGTATTAAAATTCGACAAAAGGACATACGAATTCAATATAATGGAGATAGAGACTTTATGATTATACTACACTCATCGAGATTATATTGAATTAAAATTATAATTCGGTTGGACGAATTAACTGCTTAATCACTCGTTGAATATAAAAACTTTGTTATTTTAATATTTTTTAAATAAATAACGATGTGTCGTACAAGTTTTATTATAGAATTCTGTCTGCTATAAATTTTTGCGTAACGTCATTTTACCAGAAAATATGCAACAAAAATACTACGAAGGATATATTCCAAAATTTAATATTCTCATAGAAGTCTTTAGACGATTGGAACTTTACTTTGACAATATTTTTTAACGTAAAATATCGGTTGAAGTACATGTCTAAGAATTTTATCCCAAAGGTTTTCGATTTTGCAATATGTAGATAGTTTCTGCTTTATATCAAAGTATGTCGATAAGAATAAAATTGATATGCAAAATTAAAATATTTGAAGTACGCGTGCGAAAAGTAATGTAATCTACAGATTAAACTAGCTTTATAATTATTATATTATTAATATATTATATTAAATATCTATATATATATATATATAATAAAAATATAATAAAAAAAAAAAAAAAAAAATTATCTGAATTATTTAGTGCTTCTACTAGAGTTATTAATCAATTTAAAAGAATCAAATAATTCATAGTATTGGAGAACCTATGAATTTCAAATGTAATTAAACCCATACAACTTAATTGTAAACCAATAAAATTAAGATAATATTTTCGAAATTTATTACTTGCTACATGGAATTCTTGTATATCCGTATCAAAACTTAGGTACTTCATAATTTTATTAAATTAATGATGTACTTTATAAATATATTTTACTTATTCAATGGTATGGTACACCGTGCGAATATTTATCGTTAAAAAAAAATTGACTAGCTTAATATAATTTATTATTCGATTCAATATCCCTACATATAACTAACCTATAATATATAAAAAATTCTACGGAATGATTTTTTTTTTTGTTGAAAAAACCATAATTTATAATATTGTGCAAATTCTTTTATAACCACTAAATGTCTTTATAAATATCTTTAATGTTTGCAAGCGTATAATTTGTTTAAATATTTTTACGAATCCTCGTGTATTAATATACAAGCTCCTGCAATTATATAATTCGTTACAATTGGATTATAGAATTTACTTTATTACTATGCGACAGTTAACTTGTAATTGTATGCAAATATCTTATGCAACTCGAAAATGTAATAAGGTTGAAACTTGTCTGCTTAGGTGTAACATCGATGACAAGTTAGTCGTGGGTAATTGACGAGCGGCGTTGGAAATTAAACCAAGCAAGAAACATACATAGAGTGCAATCGATGGGCGGTTATTGAATTATCGTTGTTGGTGATTACTTGATATTGAAAAGGGGATTTGGAAATAAGATTTTCCCTCCTTCGGTTTTCCTACTACGTAATTCTGCTTTATTATTGTTACTTATAAAGATATAACAATGATATGATAAGTAAGTTATTCATACGTTTGTTATTAGAAGCACTGTTAACAATAATATTATTACGAATGATTTTGGTATTAATTATCATTATTGTTAATAATGAGAGCTAATTAGTGAATAATATATAGTATCAGATATATATATATATATATATATATATATATTATATGTATAACAATGATTAGCGAGTTAATGTAATAAATATAATTAATAGTGTATTATCCGTACATAATAGATTAATTATTGGAATATTTGTTGTTTTGGAATTACTAACATAACTATTGTTGCGAATGTACATCAAAGGAAAAGTAAATTAAAAGTTAAATATTCTAATAATTTAGATTAATTGGATTTTTCTCTTATAAATAATTTAACCTCATATTTGTCACACATATGTGGTCGATACTATATAGCATCTTATAAAGATTAAATTACGTAATAGCCGAGGATTAGTAAATTTGTTATTATGTGTGTTTGCTCTGGTTAATAATCGTTAAACAAACTGACCAATTTGGCAGAGCATCGATAGTACGAGTAAAAATCAATTGAACTGCAGACCGGCGGCTACAATTTAGGTTCAGAGATGTGGAAAATTCGCGCCGGAAATTAAAGCACATCGTCGTTCCTTCTTGCTACTGTATAAAGCTGAAAATTTGCGAGCGCCAAGCCATCGGAGGCACAGAAAACAGAATCTCATCCGTAATTGAGTTTGAATTTCTCGGCTATGAGAAGACGGTGGCGATGGCGGCATCCGGCTTTTTCGAACTTCCATCCCATTTTACCGTGCAGAAAGTTCCGTGGAGCGAGAAAAAGAGAGATTCCGTACCGCTGTCTACGAAAGGATAAGAAGGAAAGTTGGTATTGTCGGCGTCGTCGCGCAGACTAAACTCAAAGTGATTCGCTCTCCAGGAAAAGCTGAGGACCCTATCAGTGCGTTGTGATGAAAAAGTCTCGAGAGAAAACTCCGCGCATGAAATGTTACTTTATGATTCGGTCAGCTGTAGAGCCTCCTGCGAATTTCAAAATATGCTTCAATGTTTAATCAATTTTAGCAGAATATTTTAAAATCGCTGCAAAGATGAGGCGTGCCAGGATGTACCTGGATGTACAATATGTAAATTGCGTAGGTACGTTTATTTACATAATTCTGTGTACGCGTATTAATTTACTAAGTAAAGTCTTTTATGAGAGATAAGTGGTAAAGAAAAGTGTAGTTGTTATCATGGAAGCTATGGTGTTTTGATAATTCGATTTAAATGTTTGTACGATAACGTTTTCATTGCTTGAATGTAACATCGCAGGATTCTCATTAAAGATGTAATATGCATGTAATATGAACGTGAGCGTGAAATTCAACGAAAAATATGATGTTAAATATTTTTATACGTTAAATGTTCGTTAAAATTGTCAAGAGCTCAAATTTTCAATTTCGTATTTTTGTATGATGATCCTCTAAGTATGTAATGTAGTATTTAGTATTTATTTAAACTGACTTAGGTACATATGTATCTCGTATGCTGCATTAAATGTAAATTTTCAATAATAATCTTTATAAAAAATATCTTAAATACCACGCGAGCGCGCATTAGCGGTCGTCGTCGTGTTGAATAATTTCGGTTTCATGTGAAATCGCACAGACGCGGCATGGCACATAACAGAAACTATTCAGTACTATGGCAACATTTAACAGAGCGACGTTGTAAAGTTTATTACAATGGTCGATTGCTTGGGTAAGTTGTACCAACATTCGGCAAATAACAATGTTGATTACAAGCGCGATTAAATGGCTAGTAGAATTGTATCGCGATAAAGGAAGAAAGAAACGACAGAGAGGTTGGAAGGAAAAAGAAACTACTGCCCATCCGACATGTACACTTGCCTCTCGGTAGGGCTTCCTAAGCTGAAAGGAGAAGGGGATACTTGGGTTACCGACCCGAGTCTAATAGCCCCATTTACTTATTATCGCCCGATAATCTCGTTAACGCATATCCATGCCACTCCTGAGCTTAACGCGTCCATCAATTTAACGGATCGCTACGGTCGCCTTGGCTTCCGAAGCCTTGTCTTTTCAAAGCCGCCCTCTTTGCCTCTTTTTTTTTACAACACGCAATTGGAACGGGAGGAGATTAGTGTTGGAAAGTCACAACAAAACATCGACGCCAACAACTTAGCGCGCGTTTCTTCCACACAATCCTAAAATATATTATTAGAAACTTATGGCGCTCTCGTTGATTGCCTTGCTCGTACCACTAATATATTACTTTAATTAATTTTTTTATAGCGTATATTACAAATTTTCATTGGCTAATTGTCCGTAATGTTTATTAATCCAAATATATTTTTAATAGAAGCGGAAATGAATGAGCTTTAGTTCGTAAGCGTTTATTAACTATTTCTATCTTTCAAAAAAAAAAAGAAAAAAATTATAAATCGAAAAATTCGCTTAAAATACGTAAAATTATTTCTATATTTCATTAATATTTATAAGACTGAATATTAAATAATCGAATAAACGATATGAGCGTTATAATGAGTGAGAGCACGGATATCCGTAGCAGAATCGCTGCACTTGGGAAAAGCGCCAATTGTCCATATAATATCGTTAAGCTTCTCATTTATTTTTGCCATTGCCATTACTATCGATAAAAAAGTTTGAAATATCGTATTTTTACAAGTAACTTACCGACATCTTGGGAACCACCCCAAGTGCCAAGCTGTGCCTGTCGTGCGAGCCTAGATAGAGCATCGACGTAAACCTTAGAAGCTGCGGCAGCACCTGTAATACAAGAGAAATAATAAATAGAAATTTTTATTAAAATGACAAAGTCGCTGTGAAACACTATTAGCATAATTTTTAATTCGATTAACGCGGCCAATGTTAAATGAAATAATAAGATATGGGAGAATAAAAAATGTGCACGCTTATTATACTACATAATCAATTATGTTGGGCATTATTACCGATCGTTTAGACTTTCAAATATTTTAAGTGCTAATATTGAAATGTGTGATTGTATTTGTAGTTTTATGAGATGGATTTGATATGGAAAGAAAATATCCATTGATTGTCTTTGTTCTTAACTGAACAATAGCATAGTAATAATTTTTAATGTGTACGATGAAAAGGCACGTGTATATATTTTAGTTACCACGATTAAAATATGGATCTGCTTAACTATTATAAAATGATAATGTCATCATTAATAACATAATAATCATAATTATAAACAAGTGTCTCAATATATTTAGATGAAAAATAATATAATGGATAAATTTATTTAATGTTATCTTACTAGGATATTAAGATGATACCAAGATTTTTATTTTTAAATATATGTATTTACTTTTTAATCAACAGAAATTTGCAACTACGTATAATTAGATTAGAATCTGATAATTGTTATTGAACTAAAAACTTGAAATTAAAAGTAATAATAATGTACATTTTAATCAGTCGATTGTTTGACTTTTAAATAAACTGTGATTTAAAAGAGTTTTAAATTTACAATTTGATGAATTTAAATAAATATTTTACATTTTATTATTTCATTTTTATGGCAATACGAACTTGCGCAATCCCTATTAATTATTTTTTCTATAATAGGGTATTTTTGTAATGTGTCCAATGAGTTCTTATTAAATGTTGGTGTGATAACATTAAATTAGTGTAAATTAAGATCACAAACTGTGACTATTCAATTTCCTCCGAATGAAATACCAAGCTATACGTAATTAATTTAATAACTTTAACTAGCTATCGTTTAAAAATGACATTTATTCGCTAAATACGTTATTTCTTAATGTTCTTTTGTAATAAACAATGCTCACATACAAGGATAAAGTAACGGATAATAAAGCTGAACATATCCCTGCAGCTTTATAAACTAAAAAAATCTATAAATATAACGAGTAAAAACAACATCGATTGCTTGTCTTTTAGATTAACGCATGTAATATTAATGCGCTACTCGACTACAGCTACTTGGAAAGAGAGAGAGAGAGAGAGAGAGAGAGAGAGAGAGAGAAGTATTGAAAAGAAATATCGAAGTAGAAAAGATTCTTCGACATGCCGTCACGACAATTATTGTCGATGCTTTTGCGCTCTTTTATCCAGCCACAGGTAATCCTCGTAAACACGAAGAGCTTTTACAAATCTGCTGCTCCTGTGTCGAATCCTACCTTACATATATCTATATCTATACATTTGTATATTTACGCCGGGAGACTCGCCTGGAGCATCGTAATTAACAGCTTTTTATTGCATTTATATCCGCTACTTAGTAAGTATATATTATACACTGAATTGGAAATTGTAAAAAATTATTGCTGTTAATTTTATATGTAATTATTGATGTTAATGTATATGTTTTCATTATATGAGTTCACTTGTTGTTTATTTTTAATCGAAATAAACTATAAATTACTTTGTAAGTACAAGTGCCTCAATTTTTTATGAAATTATGTTGATGTTACTAAAAATATTACAAACGCATCGAAAACGTCTAAGACAAACGATCGAATGTATAGGTTAATAATCTATCCTGTATGTCCGTAGAGATTTTATTTATTTATCGCTCTACACATAATATGGTGAAGACTGATAACACGAAGTATTTAACGATTCAATCGGTGTCTTTAATTAATTTCTAATTAATTAAAATGAACAGTTGTCATTTACTAAAAATTTATATTTTTAATCAAGTTTTATTTCTCTATGAATAGTTTATTAAAAAAAATGTTATTTTCATTTTTTCATTTGAAGCATAACTTTATGAAAGTTGAAAAGGTATTTATAATAATTCATTATCTTAAGAAGATAAAAAATGTTTTAAATCAAAAGCGATTTTAATATTAAGAAGCTATATATACCGTGCAATATTTAAAAATTATTTACATACTTGTAAAAGAAAGCAACTATTCAGCTAAAATATCGTATTTTTGAATTATAAGATGCAGAAACTCGAAGTACATAAAAATAACAATGAATGAATTAAAGATTATCATATTGCAGTAACTGGATAAATTTCTATAAAATATCATAGATAAGCGGATAAATCATCAGAATGTCACGCAATTCCTGTAATATTCTGCATTAGACCGTAATTTGTCGACACGGGTAAATACACATATATAATCATGCGAGCCTAAGTAAATGAGATAAGTTTTCTTTATAAGAAAGAGCATCGACATCTAGGCCCATTTATTCTTAGTCTGTCTCGGAAATCACCCCCACTCTAAAGACAAAAGGCGAGCATTAAGGGAACACTCTCGTAGAATATCAATGTTAAGTGGCTCGTGAAGGCAACCCTCTTTACAATCGCGTATTCTTCGAGTCCTCAGTGAGCGTACAGTTAAGGAACTTTATCCCGTTATCCGATTTTTTGGCCCCGTAAGAAAGTCAAGTACTACCCGTGCTCTGCATAAAGATTGTCACGCCCTTTCACAGCTCGTGAATCCCTTCCGCTCACTCTTTTTTCTCGTATATCCCATCTTCTCTCGTCAAAAATACACTTTCAGTTAAAATTGATGCATTTAAAGTGACATTCACTACCGTGTGTATAATTATCTTTTCATAAAAATGACACTTGGCACTAAAGATCTATAAAGAAGTTATATATATATATATATATATATATATATATATATATAAACGTACGCGTATGTGTGCATTAATCTTGTTGAAAAACATAAATTTTGATGCTCAGAAGTTAATGTTTGTTCTATTTTACTTCAAAGAATTCTAGTTTTATTGAACTTATCAGTCAAATATTTTATAAGCATGTAAAATAACTCTGTCTGTTCTAAACTTCAGTCTCGAAAATTTAAAAGCCTTTCCCTTATCTTCGCTAACGATTAATATATTTTTCTATACAATTTTTCGTCCCTTTTTCATCTTTCATCTATCTTTTTTTTTTCTTAAATTTCATATTCTTGAAATTCTCTGAAATTATGAATACTTGACTGTAGCTGCTCCTCGAATGTATACATCACTATAATACCATGATTTTATAATAATCCAGAAACTACGTAGTGCGCATTCCTCGCATTAGAACTTTATCTTTATTACTTATCTCATTTAGTGAATGAAAATATTACCTGCATTGTATAGTTATATAAATTATATAAATCGAATGGCAACCCCTCTGATAATTGTAGAGCAGTGAGGAGTCATTATGTGGCATTCAAATAATAAATTTGGTTTCCAGATGCAGTGACCCGATAGGGGAATTTTTAGATTTATGTAGGTAAGCTCCAAATTAATTTAGTAACTATATGGGCTTAATAAATAACACCTAATAAATATAGAAATTTTTATTGCAGCTTAGGTAACAACATACTTATTAAGTATGTTGCAATACACGCATTAAAATAACATATTAATATAAGGATATATAAAATATTAAGTTTTTATTGTATTTTAAAATCGTATGGAGAACGAAAGGCTTTTTACTACAGACAAATCACTAAAATTATGGTAAACGAGATAATTTAGAATTGAAATCGTTCATAACGGTTGGTCATTTGTAGCATCCAAGAAAAACAATTTCATTTTATTACCAGATAAATATAGAAGTCGATATTTTACTACCATTGACTGCTTTAAATGCAAATTTTCATCAAATAAATTAAGTAATTATATATATGAACAGAGTCATTACATTTAAGTAAAAAATTTATATATTATTTTAAAGAATCCCATGAATTGTTATGCAGAAATATTCTTAGTTATATTTTCAAATCTATTATATATAAGTGCCGTAGTTTACAATATCAGTTTAGTATAATATTTGAATTTCACACTATTAACTGTGCAATAATCCAAAACATAATGTGCAATTCGACAATAAGTATCTTATTTTCATATTTTCTTTTCATTGTCATCCGCTTATTATATGGAGTAATTGAAGTATAAATTACCAAATTAATTTAATAGATCATAAAAATAGTAATAATATTATATATTGCTTTTATTTAAAGATTAATGTGATTTTCAGACAGTATTTAATTATAAAAATTAAATATTTGAATAGGATTTATCAATATCAACTACTTATTGATATTTTCAGAGACTGATGCCGAAAATTATTAGACTTTTATATAATATCACCTCTGAAATGATATATTCATTGTATATAAGCCATTTCGTCAATGACAAAACAATAAACCCTTGAAGCAGTACCATTGAAAGTACCGAATGCTTAATCCTTGCACAGAACCCTTGAATGTTCAATCCCAACGCAATTTTCACGGCATCCCAAACTCAGTTGAAGGTCGAGTAAAGTCAGAGCTGAGAGAAGAAAGTCACGCCCACCATTCATACGTAACTGTTTCGATATTCCTTGATATATTTGTATTTCATAATAAAGCAAGTAGTCACATAATAGTGTTCCAGATCTTTTGTGACATTCGCACACGATGTTTGCAAATTTGCCGGTATACATTTGAAATTGCTCGAACAAATATATTACAAATAAATTGATGCCGCGGCAAAAAACATATTGCCAAATAACGGTAGGGCGAATAAATTAAAAATATTTCATCAAAATTATAATACATAATTATTACATAAATTAGAGTAAAATATATTATCGCGAATTGGTTTATGTATGAAATGGAAGAAATCTTGAAAAATGAACACTATGACTTTATCATAGTATGAAGTGACTATGAAGCACTGCTCCAAGAAAAAGTGCTCCAAGAAAAGCTAAATAATCATGCTTTCGAAAATTTATACTTTTAGATATAATTAAAAAGCCATATAAATATTTTCAATGT